CTCTGGACACGCTCCAGCCCCTCCATGTCCTTCTGGGAGTGAGGGGCCCAACGCTGAACCCAGCATTCGAGGGGCGGCCTCACCAGTGCCCCGGACAGGGGCACGGTCACTGCCCTGCTCCTGCTGGCCACACCTGTCCTGATACAAGCCAGGATGCCCTTGACCCTCTTGGCCACCTGGGCATACTGCTGGCTCATATTCAGCTGCCTGTTGACCAACACCCCCAGGTCCTTTTCCGCTGGGCAGCTTTCCAGCCACTCTTCCCCATGCCTGGAATGTTGCCTGGGGTTGCTGTGACCTGGACCAGTGACATCAATAACACCCCGCCTCCTTTTCATGAGGCAGGACTTGACTCAAAATGGTAATTTATATTTGCTTAGGAAGAAGCCCTGTGATGTTTAAAGGGATGACTAGGTTTGCAGGTAGTTGCTGATGGCTCATGGAGGGTATGCTTGGGGAGGCAGGAGGTGCCCTTGAGCTGTGCAGTGTGATGAAAGTGTTGCCCTTGTAGGGCAGAAATATGTGCTGTTTGCACTAAGGAAAGGTGAAAAGCAAAAGTTATTCTGTTGATGCTTGAAAGCCCTACCTTCTGAAAGCTGAGTGCAGGAATCTGTTTAAACCCAACTTCAGACTAAGGAATAACCAACCTTCTCCTTCCCTTACCACCCCCTGGGGCCTTTCCAAAAAGGGCTGGGGAGAGGGAAAGATTATAGATGGACTTGGCAGCATCTGAAAATATTCCTAAATTGTCGAGAGGTCTGTAAGGACATCCCAGTTCTCTCTTTGGACCTTATTTTCCATTAAACAAATTCTTAAATATTCCCTGAAACTTGCATGTGCATCCTCAGCATGGTTACACTTGACCTGGGAAGGAGAAAGACCAAAAAAAGGCTCTGGACTAAAGCTGTTCTGCAAAATGGAAAAAGAAAAGATGTGTTACTTCTTCAGAGTGATAGATGGCAACATGCTTCCTGTCTTGGAAGCCTAAATGCAAAGGGTTTATTAAGGAGAAGAAAAATCAGGAAGAAAAGCCCAGTTGCTCGCTGTTACATTTTGTGGATTTTACACTGTCGCTTCCCTGAGGTGCATATGAAAATACCGTTAGAGTGGAATCAGTGGAAGCAAAATCGAGTTGAAACACTGCAGTAAGCTGAAGCCAGGGAGAGTTAAAAGATGTGCAGTGTCTTACAGGACACAAGTCCCATGTGTGCTGCCATGCTGGGGCTGTGCTCTGTCCAGGTTGGAAGTGCCTCAGGCAGAAAATGTGACTGTCTGCTTCCAGCAAACTTGGCAGTGCTCCACAAATAGCAAGTTGGATTTTATTAGGATTGATTTTAAAAGAAAAAAAACCACAATCCCCCCAAGATTGGAGCAGCAAGATGGACCAGATTGCTGCTTTGAAGAGGGAGGGCAGTTGCAGCTGGGCTTCGCAGCACTGGCTGGGCAGCCATGGGGACTCTGGGGGAGTTCCCAGCAGGGTGCTGCGTGCGTCTGCTGAGATGTTTGAATGCTGACTGCCAAGGTAGAGCAGACTGGACTATTTGGGCTACTGGAGTGGAAAAGCATGGGGGAAAATGTCTTGGCTGAGCCCTCAGGGCTCTTGAGGGTCTGGTGATGCTGCTGAGATAATACCCAGAACTGTTTGAATAAATTGGTGCTCTTTCTAGTAACAGTACCACAACTTTGCATTTGGGTGTGCATGTACAGACACCTGTGTGCCATGAGAAATGGTGAGCTAATCTGATCTTTATCAATTCCATGCATCGCAGTAAAAATGAGATCATCTTTGAGGGAACAGAAGAATTCTTGGGACCCTCTATCCTATAGGATATCCTAGAGGATTGCCCTCTGTCCTGTAAGAGTCCCTATGCATGCTTTTAGAGATTATGATATGTCATCTTCTGTTTTATTGTTGCCATAGTTTGTACTGGTTTTGAAGACCATAGATGTTACTTAATGTCACATAATTCTATTTTAGAGTAACTGTTGGAAAGACAGCTTCCTGGTAGGGAGCTGAGGTGGGAAGGCGTGAAGTAGTTTATTTGATGGATGCATTTTCTAGGTAGTGACTAGTAAATCTCTGTGCCTTTGCGAAGGGCAGACACAGAATGGAAACTTAATTCAAAAATAGGAGAGTGGAGGTCTTGATAATGCAGCCCTGGTTCAACTTGGGGAAAAATGGGGGGGGAAAAAAAAAAACAAAACCCAACACAAACCCTTCAAAAAACAACAACAACAAAACCCCCAAAATGCATGACCTGAACTGGGAAATCTCAAGACCACCCATGTGTCTTGCTGTAAGAATGGATAAAACAGGATCTCTGTATCCCCGGTCACCTGGGCGCTGGTGTCCAGGTACTTGCAGAGGGGTACCTGAAGTCAACCACCAGCCTCTCTAGGGTGATGTGCCAGATGATGCTTTTCTTTCCCAAATTAAAGCGCACCAGTAGGAGAGCAGCTGGAATCAGCTTTTCAAAGGAGATGTGCTGATCAAAGGAGGCTTGGCTGCGTGCTCAGAGATCTGAGCTCGGCAGGAGCCGAAAGCTGTATGCCACTGCCTCTTGCAAAGGCTTCTTGAGGTCCTGCGGCTCCAGGCTCCTGCACTTGTGTTGGACCTGCTGCACGCCATACGCAGTGATCGCATACAAAACCTCTACCCTCCTCTGGAGTGTATTTACTATATGCCAGATTTGTTTTAAACTGCTTTGAGAAGGTAACTCTCAAACTTCACGTGTTGTTGGAATTTTTTTCTGTCTCCTTATAAAGCTGGCATGGTAATTAGCGTAGTCCAATTGCAAGATGCTGAGAGAGAGAAATCAATTAATTCAAAAAATGACTTACAGAAGCTGTAGAAATACAAAAGTTAGTCTTTTAATCTTCGTGTGTGTTGGAGATGCTTCTTTCTTTTCAAATAAAGTTCTCATTTAGTACTGGCAAGTTTCTGCAGAATAACCATTAGTCCTGTCACTTACTCAGGACTGATCCTGGCTGGTTTAAAATGCACTGAGCTTTGCTCTGATCACAAACCAGCTTTTCTACGTGAGGCTGAGGCAATATCCACAAACACCTCTTTTTTTATCTTGGCTTTGCAGCATAGCATGTAATTTTCTGTACTGCTTGAGCTCCAGCATCTAGGCAACGAGAGGTGAGCTGAGGACCTGGTTTCAGACTCAAGTGTTTGTTTTGTTTTGTTTTTTAAACAGACCAACCCCCAATCCAAAACCTCAGATATTATTCGAGTACATCAAGGCACGTCAAGGAAATGTGAAGTGATGTATTTGGAACAAAAGCTTGTTTGTAGTCAGATGATTTTGTGCAGGGTCCTGAGCACTTGGTCGGATATGGAGGGGCTGGAGGAGTATTTGCCTCTCCCCTGCCCTCCCATGGGTATAATAAATGTGACTCAGATTGGTTGAACATGCAGATAGCATTTTTATGGGGTCGTTTATGTTTTACGCTACAGTTGAGCTCCTTGTGTTTTCCTCTTCACACTGAAATGTCTCTGGCTGTTGAGGACGGTGTCATGTGTTGGGTTTTCTTTTTGAATGCATCCCTCCAGTTGCATTTCACGTGGTTGCTGGTATGGGGGGTCAGCAGCAGAGACAGACATAACTGGATTTTCTTTGATGCCTGGTTGAAGTGGCATTAAACTGGCTCTTGTGTTTCTGTCTCAGTATTTGGGGAGCATCATTGAGGTCTTAGCAATGGGAAGCTTGACTCAAATGTTACTAGAAAATGGCTTGCAGTAGTTAACAGGGCACGCAAAGCCCTGAGCTCCATGTATGTTGTGTTGTGGATTCCTGAAGAGCTGGCTCAGAGGGCACTGCCTGTGGCCTGGTGTCCCCTCTGGCTCAGGAGGGTTCCAGCTGGTTTTGCTGAGTCTTCCATGTGCCAGGGTCTATTTTAGATGTGGATGCGTGGTTTGGGGAGGGGGTTTTAGTTGATTTAAGCCTGTTTTCCCTCTTTCCGCAGGTGTGTCGGGAGTAAAAGCTGATCGCTTTGAGGAAGCGATGACGGCAAAGCACTGCGCACTCTCGCTGGTGGGAGAGCCCATCATGTACCCAGAGATCAACCGCTTCGTGAGGCTCCTGCACCAGCATGGCATCTCCAGTTTCCTGGTTACAAATGCACAATTCCCAGATGAGATTAGGTAAGAGCTGGACAAAACACCTCCCTGCTAAAGCATTTGAGTGCTGACCTGTGTTTTAATTCTATTTTATTGCTCATCAGTGTCAGCTCTGCATGAGCACTGACAATGAAAAAAACCCATTTGGGTTCCATTTGGTTTCTCTTTGATTTTAATCTTAATCTCCCTGTGCTTTTTCTCATCTCTTTCTCTCCCCCAGTTTGATTTTTCTTCTCTGTGTCTCTTAGTGTGGTTTCTTCTGAAAGTGAAGAGAATGTAATATAGTACCTCCTGGAGGTGCGAGGGAAGAATAGCGAGCGAGCTGCATTTTGTGCTTGGGCACTGGATAACTGGTGTGAGTGTTTCTGACAGCTAGAGCAGGAGACTGAACACCTAAACTGCCTTTTGGGTTTGTGTGCGTCTCCTGCAGTCTGATCTTTGCTCTAACTCCATAAGACCAGCCATAACTGCTCAAACCAAAGATCTGTACAGCCTAGCATCTCCAGCGGGACCCAGAGTGCAGGATAAGAATGGGTGAAAAGCGCACACTTGTCTGCAAAAGTGGGATCAGTAGCTTTTAACCTCCCTCTGAGAGGGACTTGAGCTCAGCATTCACAGTGTTCTAATGAACTCTGAAAGAGTCTTTACAAATGCAAAGAATCCTTCTTTCTGATGTTCCTGAGCATCCAGACTGCTTTTAATGAAATCGGAAGCAACGTAGGAAGGAAGCGCAGCACGCAATGTGAGTGGCAAGGTAGCTGGGAGCTTGTCAGAACACAGTCAGCTGATAACGCTGTCAAAGTCTGACCCTGGAGTTCTGTGAATGCCTTGGTGGAGCCGTATGCAGGGTGGATTTGGGATGTCGCTCAGCCTGCTGTTTCAGCTCAATGCCCCTCTGTGTTAGCACTTTCTGGTAGAGCTTCCTTTTCGCTTCCTTCCCGTGGTCTGAATATGGCAGTGAGGGGGGTGGGCATGCAATTTTTGAGTGAGTAATTATACACTACAAAGGCATTCCAAATGATTGAATAATTGTGTAATCAAGTTACTTTAAGTCATGTATTATGTGCTTGATAGACAGAAATTGTTCTTTCCTAAAAATAGCGTTTTAAAAAGAGCATGCACTATATTTTGAAGTTGCATTCCTTAGGATCTGCTGAACACTTTTAAAAAGAAACAAGAAAGTGATAAAATGCTAGTCTTGCTGTCTTAAAAATTGCAACTAATCTTTGGCTCATCAAACCAAATGATTTGCTTAATATGGGACTTGAAGTATACACCGAGCTTGCTTTTTCCATTGTCGGCAGAGGGGAGCTATAGTCTGAAAGTTAGTCCTAAACCAGGCAGCACAACCTCTGGCATCCAGCATCCGGATGGGGAGCATGGCCTGGTGTGATCGCTGGGTTTAGGTGAGGAACCTAGAGTTTAGTCTAGGAGTTTAGATGAGGTCTCCAGTGGGTGCTGCCTATGCCTTCCTCCCTCCTCTTCTCTTCCTCCTTTTGTAATTGGACTGCAGCCTCATCTACCTCCAGACACACATGTGTTTTCATAAAGCGAGGACAGTTTTATTGCACGTGAGCTTGTACTGAGCAGTTACCTGGCTCTTGTCCTCTTCCTCCTCTTGTTTCTGATTAGTGAACAAGAACCCTTGCGTATGTGTCTGCATTTATGAGCATCAATAATAATAATAATAATGAGCAGATGCTTATTATTGCTCATAAGCAAATGCTCATTTTTATTATATTGTTGTTTCTGTTCTTTGTATCCTTGACTAGGCTCTGTCCTGCCTGGCTTGTGAAACCACCTCGTGGCTGGTGGCCTGAAGTCGATTTATTGCTCTTGAGTTGTGCTGTGCTATTTGGCCATGCTTCCTGCCCAAGTTCATACATGGTAAATGCCCTGAATTTGATCTTAGCTTTCTAAGCTAGCTCAGAAATTACAACCAAAAGCTTAAGAGGAACACTGGCAAATCCATCCTAGTACCATGCAACTAAGTTTCCTGTTAATTAGGAAATGTCACTGTGTTCCCAGACATTGGTTTGTGCTCTGCTCCTCCCTGGTGCTGGCTGGACCCAGGACTGCCCCTCCTCCTTGTTCCCCTTTGTCAGAGTGTGCATGGGGCTGTCCTGGCTCCAGTCCCAGCCATGACAGAGCCCTGTGGACTGCTGTTTTGGCCAACGTGGGACAGAAATCCCTCCCCGGGATATCTTCTAATTCCTTCACTTTCTCTAGTATAACAACGCGTCTGGCTCTTGCCTGTCCTTAGGATTGAGATCCTTGCAGAGGAGATGATTTCTTTTCTCAGCTCATGGTTTGAAAAATGCTCGCTCCCGTCTTCACCAAGTCCCCTTTTAATTAGGCAAATGCAGCATTAAGTAAAGAAGAGTATTTTGGCTATGTTCTTTGAAACAAAATGCTTCAATTCACTTATGCCTAGAACATTTGGTCATTTTTTGGAGACTGTGGCTTTGGGCTGCCAGTCCAGACAAGCTTGTTTACAAACCAGGGGTTTTTAACCAAAAATGTTAAATTTCTTCTGGGCTTTTTTGTTCTTCTGTCTAAATACGTTTAGATAGGTTTGAGTGTCCACGTTAAGTGGATTTTTCCAATAAGAGCTCTGCTCAGTCTCGTTCTAGACAGTTCTTGTCCCTTTGTCACCTTTGGGGAGGGCAGGGGGGGGTTAGTGTATTTTTAGGTGGCACTGTTTGGCAGCTGAACAATAGTTTCTAATTTCTTCTCATCTTCTATAAAGAACCAAATCAAGCTGGGACTATAGCCTGCTTGTTAACAGACCTCACGAAAACTGCTTTCAAAATGTGGTCCTAAAACCGAAGCGCTGGAGTTACAGGGTACAATTAGGATGTCATTTCATCTTGGAGATGCTGGGCTGGAAGATGCCATCGGGGTGGATGTGTGTTACGCTCCCTGGCTTTACCAGTTCTGTCTGTGACAAGGGAGCTTGTTTCAGGTTGTTCCTCTTAATGCCCTTCATTATCCCTTCGCTAATGGACTGCAGCGCTGCTGCTTCTCCTTTATACCCTGGGGGTTTATGGAAGGGATTAGACTCGACCCAGGCTCTTCACACAGCAGAGGAGGTTTAATCTTTTTAGAAGTTACTGGTGTTGGGCTCACAGATGCTGTGCTCACCGGCACTATGTGACCAGAAAGACTGTACTGCAGGATTTATGTGAAATAAGAGCCTTGGAAGTGGAAGGAGAATGCGTTGGGGGATTGTGCTTGCTTTTATTTTCAAAACAGCTTTGATTTCCCTTCAAAAAAATTATTTGACTGATGATGCTAGCTGCAGGTCAGGTAAGTTCAATGTGTCCAGCAATAGAAACTGGCTGAATTATGGCTGTAGTTCTATTAAATAGGATTATTTTTCCATGGGCCAGAGCGAAGAGATCTTGGGGAAGGGGCTGAGCCTTATGGTTTGTAACCATGGGGGCTGTAGTGAGAAGCAGAACCTTTCAGCGCCTCGCCTGAACCCCTGGCAGCCTGCTTTGGGAAGCCCTTCTGAATGCGTTACAGCAACACTGGGGTGAAATATGTTCCAGTTCAGTGAGGAGAAAATAATTAAAATGTCAGCTAAGGCCTCTGTATGTGATGTTCTTAGCTTTGGGGTGTATTATTTGTTGAAAGTAGGTTGTAACGTCTTGCTATTAAGATGATGGTCACTTGGCAGAGATGAACCACTGGACTTGGATAGTTTTCCCTGTAAACACTGTATAGCTCCTCTCGCTACTGGACCAGCAGAGCAGCTTGTTTGGAGATAACTGTATTTTGTGTGCTTTGATAGGAAGGCACAAATCCAGCTAGTGGTAATGTCTGCAAACAACAATTCCCTTTTTATCTCCAAGGAACCTTGAGCCCGTAACGCAGCTGTACGTCAGTGTGGATGCCAGCACCAAAGAGAGCCTGAAGAGAATTGATCGACCCCTCTTCAAGGATTTCTGGCAGAGGTTTCTAGACAGTTTAAAGGCCTTGTCTGAAAAGGTACCCAATTAAGAATGCATTTTAAAATATCTTTTCCTTCCTTCTGCACCTCACCTACTTAGGATAAAAGTAGAAGACCTGAGAGGCGTTAGATGGACCGTGGAGTGGGTTTTGGCTGTGCTGGGAGCATATTTGTTTTGTATGTTAAGGTGTATAAAGCCCAGTGAGTTTGATCAGTTTTCCATGTGGGGAGAATTTTAATGACACAAGGAGAACAGAATGTGTGTCAAATGGGACAGTAAACTCTGCTGTGAATAAAAGATGGTATGAGAGATGAAGAGATTATAAAATAGTAGAAGGTTTCCTAATGAAGTGTTTACACTGAAAGCAGGCTGCTTAAGGAAAACTGGGCATTCAGGGAAGCCTAGGAAGAGTTATAAAACCCCTTGTGGCCCTTAGCACTGGTTCCCAAAGGTTCCCTTGAAACGGCATCACATGAAGGACATTAAAATATGTGTGCTGGAGTTTACTAGTGCTAGTTAGCCTCATCCTATGTAGAAATCTGCTTATTTCTGGAAGATTTGCCCAAAACAGTAGATCTGAACGTAATAGCAAGGGTGATCCTTTATGCCGTCAGTGGTTTGCAGTAGTTTGTGTCCATCTGAGACTGCTGAGCAGTGACCTGCGGGCCCATGGGATCTTGTCTGCTGCTGCCAGCTCAGAACTTAGTCTACCGTGTAACAGTTTTTGTAGTAATTAATGAAGCACTTGTGGTCCCAGCATCACATGAATTAATAAGAATAGTGCTTCATGAGCGTGTCTTCCCTCTTTTATTTACTGATACTGTGCTGTGATGGAAGCAAGCACGTCTGTTTACTGATTTGGCAGAAGTTGACATGTTACCTGCTGAGATGAACAGACAAGAGAGGCTGTTTCATTTGAATAATGAGTTTTTCTGCCTTCTGAGATGACAAAGTTGGACCATTTTCTGCCAAATGTACTTACATTAGTAGATCTGGGAGGCTCAGTGTAACTGGGCGACACTTTCTTCTGCAAAGGCATGTGAGTAGCTTGATCGAGCTGTTTGCATGCAAGAGTGCTGGCTGATCTCGATGAGCAAAATCTCAGGCCAAACTCTGAGTTTACTGAAATCAGGTACAAACTTACCGAGTTGTCTGTGTGAGTAGAGGAGGCTGTGGAAAGAAGGGGAGCTAAAATATTGAAGGCAAAAATATTGAAAAAGCCTTTTGGGAACTTGCTTCTGCCCATTATTTCTTTTCTTCTGCCTTTTTTGACCCTGGATAGATGTGGTTCATTCATTGCTGTGTGTTGTCAGAATTTCCTTGTGAAGAACTGAAGGTGAAAGTATTGGCAAGTCTGTCCATACAGCTAAAAATACTCTGGTCAAGGTGAAGGGGAGAGGAAAAAGCAGCTCAACTAGCAGGTGTGTGTTCTCCTCAAAGCAACTGCACTTTGAAGGGTCCTTGAAACACTGATAACACAAGAGCCAATTAATAGCTGCTCCAGTTGGTAATGCACTGCTCTGCCAGCCCCTGCGCAGCTGCATCGTCACATGCGGCGGACAGCAAGAAGTCTTGAGGAAGCTGCTGGCTGTTAGGTTTTTCTCTTAATGTTATACATGGTTGTGGTACCCAAAAATGATCTCAAACCGCTTCTGGGCAGAAGTGTCTTCTCTTTTCCTTCTGAGCACATTGATGGTGTTCATGTGCGATGTTAAGCACCATTCTATAGGGCTGTGATGAGTGAAAGGTGGTGGAAGCTAATGCATCTACTGATTCTTGAGAACTACAGCTCCTGTCCTGGAATAGGTGGGGAAGCTCCTGTCCTGGAATAGGTGGGGAAGCGCTGATGCATTGTGTTGGGAAAGTGATGCTAATGTATCTGGAAACAAAATACAAGTCCTGTATTTTCACACTGCCTGACAAACTGTCCAGGCTTATTCATTTCTCCTGAGACTGAGACAAGCTGGCATTGCAGCTGATGTGAGTCACTGCTAATAAGAATCATGGATAGGTTTGATCTCTGCACATTGAAAAAATAAACAAAAATGGGCAAAGGGAGTTTTTAAAAACACAAGCTGTACCTTGCTGTGCTTGCTGTTGTTTGGCAAGTGCTGTTCCTGCACTGTTACCCTGCTGGCTGTCCCCAGGGCTCTGGGCTCGGTGCTGCAGGATGTGCGGCTACAGGCAGGTCCTGCTGCAAAATGCAAAATTGAAACAGATGAGTGGGAGAAAGGAAGAGGAGAGGACACAGTCCTAGATGAGAAAGGAGGGAGGATGTTGTTCTTGGCTGTTCTCTTTCCTGCTGCTGAAAAGCAGGCTGATTCTTGTTAAAAATAGAAATGAGAAGGCCTGAGCAAAGGGGTGAGTTTTGAATTAGTTGCCCTAGTGAGAGATAGTTATCCTGATAATGATTTGACTGAAGTTCCACACAAAGTTCTTGAGTCCTTCATTTAAAGGAGTGAATTTAATAATGACTTGTTCCCAGTATGATTTGGCAGCATCATACAGCATGTTGGTGACTAGTTGCTACACTTGTTTTCAAAGGAAGTTCAGGAATAAATATCCCAAAAGATTGTTTTTCTTTTCTTTCTGCAACAACAGCAAGAAACCCTCTTTGCTGCTATTTGAAGCAAGTTTTGTCCTTTCTAGAATGATTCTCATTGAGATCATCTTTATGTTAAATTATCTATGCTGAGAAATGTTTCTTGAGAGAGGAGTTTGTTAAACACCAGATAGGCTCCATTTGTTTCTTGTCATGCGCCTTCTGCCCTCCAATTTAAATTGAGAGGAAAAAGACCTTAACATGTGCAATTTAGGATGTGCCCTTTCCAAATGTTGTGTTTGAGAAGTCTTGTCTCGTCCTCTGACAGCCTTGAGTTCATCAGGACGATTGAGAAGTGACTTGACTTGATAGACAAGCATGTGGAGGAAGCACTAAGGATGTGAATCCTCATTCTCATCATAAGGATGAGGCATCTCTGTTCCAGTGGTTGAAAGGCATTTCTTCCAGCCATTGCTGCTTCATAATGCTATATCCAAGCGGGAAATGAGGTACAAATTAATAACAAGGGTCCAGAAGCTCAGGAGGGAAGAGGTAGATTTTCCATCCCTTGAAGTTTTATGATCAAGTTGATGCTTTTTTCCAAAACCACCATTAACCAAACGTGCTGTCTGAGCAAGAAAATAAGGAACCGATGTTCTTTGAGCTCTCATCCACCAGCAGTCAGACTTGTGATCCATTTGTGTTTGGACTTTGTGCTCTGTTTCCCTCTGTTACTAGACTGGATTCTGTAGCTTGAGAAATTTTAAAAACTGTTGTCCTTGTTGTCTGTAAATCACAGAGTTTTTCCCAAGTGATAGGGATGTTGACTGAGACAAATGGGAATCCCCCACTGAGTTGCTGATAAATGAAGTGGGGATGCAGTGACTTAGTACAGCAAAAGTCCTTACAGATTTCTACCCAAGCACTTTGGAAATAACTGGAGAAAGGATGCTGATGGGCTTATGTGATGGATTGACCTTGGCTGGATGCCAGGTGCCACTAAGCTGCTCTGTCACTCCCCTCTCCAGCAGGACAGGAGGGGAGAAAATGAGATGGAAAAGGAAAAAAAAAACTCGTGGGTCAAGATAAAGACAGTTTAATCAAAAGCAAAAGCTGCGTGTGGTAGCAAAAGGAAAACAAGATTTTATTCTCTACTTTGCATTAGCAGGTGATATCCAGCCACTTCCCGGGAAGCAGGGCTTTGGTGTGCATAGGGGTTGCTCCAAAAGACAACATGTTATAGAAGACAAATGCCCCCCCCCCTTCCTCTTCCTTTCCCTTAGCTTTTTATATCTGAGCCAATGTCACATGGTATGGAATATCCCTGTGGTTGGTTTGGGTCAGGTGTCTTGGCTACATCCCCTCCCAGCCCACTGGTGGTAGTGGTGGACAATGTTGGAGACACAGCCTTGATGCTGTGCCAGCACTGCTTGGCAGTAGCCAAAACACTGGGGTGTTATCAGCACACTTCTACATACCGATGGAAAGCACAGCACCATGAGGGCTGCTATGAGGAAAATTAACTCCATCTCAACCCAACCCAATACAGCAAACCAGCAGAACATGCCCTGTTTGTGGTTCAACACTACACTACAACATCTCTGAGCATGCTTTTTTCTACCTGTTGAGAGAGCAAGACAAGTCTTGAAGTAAGTGGCAGCTGCTCCATGGATGTTCATGGGCTTGGGTGAGGATAAGGTCCTTGGTGTCACTCGTGTGCTCTGAGGAGCACTCTACTGACCTTGATGTGGTGTGACCTCTTCTGTCTGTATCTTCTTGACTTAATCATGATAAATCCTGTCCAAGCTGCTTGATATGCTGTACCATATAGTACTTGCTGTGCTGCCAGATGCCAAGTAGGCATTGCTGAACTGCTTTAACTTTCAGGGGATGGGTGCCAACATTCTCTTAAACAGATTGGAGCCACACACAAAGCAAACACGGGACAAAACCCTTTAGGTTAATAGATGTTATGGCATTGCAGGAACTGATGATGAAGCAGAACCTTATCCTTCCTGCCCTTCCAGGAGGGTCACAAAAAGCAAAAGAGAGCTTAGTGGCACTTTTTGGAAGTCGATTAGACTTGGTCTTTAGACATCATATGCAACTCTTGCTTTAGATCCTGGGTAAAACCTTGCCCTCACTTTTTTTTCCCTACTTCAAGGGAATTAAGGTTTCATAGAGAAACAGGGTCATGGTTTTGTGGGTGAGGTATAGCAAATGTCTTTTTTTCTCCTTTCTTTTCCTATTAAAAAGAAGACCTAGAAGGAAAACTCTTACCTCTGCTTGTCCTAGGATATCACATATTTGATGGTACATGGATTTGGCATCTGTGATGCTTGTGTACTGCTTGCTGGTAGGTGCTGGAGATGGCTTGTCCAGAGGAAGGCATGAAATACAAAACTGTCTTACAGAATCACAGAATCCCAGCATGGCAGGGGTTGGAAGGGACCTCCAGAGATCACCCAGTCCAACCCTCCTGCTCAAGCAGGGTC